TTTTTTTTTGGTTTTTCTCCGGTACCAGGAACCGAACTCACGACCTTGCGCTTGCCAGGCAGGCGCTTTTGCCGCTGAGCTAAATCCCCAGCCCCTAGCCTGGAACTTGTGATCCTTCTGCCTCAGCATTCCAAGTAGCTGGCATTACAACTGTGCACCACCACAAAAGTTAATTTTAAAAAAATTAATAAACATTAGCAAAAGTCTAGAGCAGGCAGTTGAAATATAAATAAAAAAACAGAGACAACACTGGAAACTATTAGGGTAGAATCAAATATACATGGTATTTGAATACAGAGGAAAATCTAATGGGATGTGTTCATGAAATTTCTTATCAAGCTTATCATTTTTTCATCAAAGACGGATCCTCTGAGATGCACACTATTTCCTTATGCTATGACTCTAATTTGGTTTCAAATTTTCTATATTCAAATACCTTGTTCTAGCCTCGAATGTCTCCAAAAAATAAGTAAGATCAACAAATATAAGAAGCTGTAAGAATAAAGTAGAAGTTACTTTTTTTTGGATACTGGAGATTGAACCTAGTCAAGACTCAGCTACATTCCCATATCCCACCCCCACCCCCATATTCTGGAATGTGTATTCCTATGTAGTCCTGCTAAGTTGCCCAGGCTGGCCTTAAGACTCATGATCTTCCTGTTTTAGTCTCCTGAATGCTGAAATTGCCACATGGTATGCCCACCACACCTGGCTTCCAACCCATATATATTGAGACAGGGTTGCCCAAGCTCTTACTTCAGTTGAGTAGCTGGCTGTGTTCCACCATGCCCAGCTTCTAAAAGGAATAACTAAATTAGGCATGGTGGTGCATGTCTACAATCTCAGCACTCAAGGAAAATGAGGCAGAGAGATTCCAAGTTCAAGACTAGCCTGGGCAACTTAGCAGGACCCTGTCTCAAAACAAAAAATAAAGCCCAGCATGGTGGCGCATTTCTGTAATCCCAGCACTCAAGGGGCTGAGGCAAGAGGACTGTTGAGTTCAAGGCCAGCCCGGACTACATAGTGAGACCCTGTCTCAAAAAACATACATACATACATACATAAATAGATACAGCTGGGAATGTAGCTCCAGAGCTAAGGCTCTGGTTCAATTCCCAGTACCACTACTACCACCAAAAAATAAAAAAGCTAATATTTATTATTTATTGACTGCTTTGAGCAGGCACTTTTTTTTGGTGCTGGAAATTGAACTCAGGACCTTGTACTTGCCAGGCAGGCATTGTGTCACTGAACTACAACCCTGGCCTTGGGCAGGCACTTTTAAAATTTTTTTGTTTTTGTTTTTTCTGAGACAGGGTCTTGCCATGTAGTGCAGGCTGGCCTTGAACTCACTTATGTAGCCCAAACTGGCATCAAACTTGCAGCAATCCTCCTGCCTCAGCCTTCCAAGTGCTGGAATTAAAGACATGTGCCACCATGCCCAGGTAAATTAATTCATTTAAACCCTAACAACTATTCTATCAAGAAGCACTTTTATGACATACTAAAGAAAAACCTGAGAGTCCTCTGGTCACTTTCCCCAGACTATATAGCTACTAAGCCTTGCAGCAAATTCCAAATCTGGACATTGTTTTCATCCAGGGCCTCCAGCATGCTAAGCATGTCACTAAGTTACACCCTCAGCCCCAGGAACTTATATTTTAAAATCTATAAAATACAACATAAACGTACAAACACCCAAATGAGCTCACCATTACTGTTGTATTCTCCACTTAAAAACATTTCAGACAGTGTATGTACAAATTCAACTGAACTCAAACATGGTGGCATACATGTGTAATCCCAGCACTCTGGGAAGCTGATATAAGAGAACTTCAAGGCCAGCCTGGGCAATTTAGCGAGACTCATCTCATAATAAAAATTAAAAACAGGTTGGGAATAATAGATTAATGTGAAGGTCTTGGTTCTATCCCCAGTGCCACCACCAAAAAAAAAAAAAAGTTGAAGTTAAATTTCTTTCCTGAAAAGAATGAACACAATTCTTAAATTTACATAAGAGAAACTAGTCATTTAACCATGTGCTCTGATGAAATAAATTTTATTTTAATTAAAAGTCAGGTACAATACCTACCAGGATATTGGAAATCTATCTTGTCCGACTGTGGTTAAATATATATAACACAAAAAATTAATCAATTTGTATGCTTTAGATTTTTGTGCTGTACTGTCAATCCTTCCTCCCTCCCTTCCTCTCTCTCTCTCTTTCGGTACTGGGAATCAAACTCAGGACCTTGTGCTTGCCAGGCAGGCATCATGCCACTGAGCTATACCCCCAGCTCTACTGTCAAACTTTGTTTGTTTGTTGTTTTTTTGTTTTTGTTTTTTTTCCAGTACCAGGAATCGAACTCACAATCTTGTCCTTGCCAGGCAGGTGCTGTGCCGCTGAGCTAAATCCTCAGCCCCTTACTGTGAAACTTCAATAAAAAATTTTTACATGGTGGCGCACACCTGTAATCCCAGAATTTGGGAGACTGAGGCAGGAAGACTGCGGTGAGTTCAAGGCCAGCCTGAACTATGAAGTGAGACTCTGTCTCAGACCCCCTCAAAATATGTTCTTTCACAACCCCCCACAGCTCTAATACATAAAAGAGTTCACAGAAGATAATCAGAATAAAAAAGAAGCAAAGTGAATAAATACAGCAATTTTCATTCTTCAATTTCACAAGAACAATGATCAAAAGGAAAACCTCAACTCCACTAACTGGAAAAAATTTCAGGCCTCATCTATCTTGTTTACCAATGAATCCCTTGAACCTGTTCAAATGGGTGGGGGCGCATCTAACATACGAGGGCCTTCACACTGAGCTACATCCCTGGCCAGCTCTTGCACAAACTCACTAAATTGCCCAGCTTGGCTCAAACTGCCTATTCCCCTACCTCAGCCTCCCAGAGCACTAGGATTACAGGCATGAACCACCACTCCTGGCGGTTTCCTGAGGTAATAAATAGGATAAATATTTCCTGAGGTAATAAATAGGATATAAATATTTCCTGCGGTAATAAATAGGATATACACAAAAGAACTCTCTCCTACAGTACTGGAAACAATGTATACTAGTAAAATCTTTCTGTAGGGAATATTAAGGAAACAAAAATTTTACCTACACATCATAATTCCAACAACAGAAAATTAGAAACAACTTGAATATCAACCAATAGTCAGCCAGTTAAAGAAATCATGATAACACAAATACTATGTGGAGGCTGGGCATGGTGGCAGACAGCTCTACCACCAAGCCACATGCTCATCACTTTATATTTTTTTATTCTGAGATAGGGTCTTGCTAAGTTGCCCAGGTGGGACTCACACTGGCAATCCTCCTGCCTCAGCCTCCCTCCATGGTGGGATAATAGATGTGTGCCACTGCACCTGGTGCTCACAATCATGATTCTGCCTATTTCTTATACTACATGAACTGTATCCAGCTTCACAGATTCATTCCCTGCAGCATTAAAAAAGGGAGTTTAACATCTACTATCGTAAATCTAAAACAAGTTTCCTAAAAAACAACTAAAATATTTGATTTACAGATCCATATGAAGTGTTCAAGTTTATCCTCATTACCTTGAGATTTTATTAAATCTACACCGAAATCATCGTTATGAATTCATTGCCAACTTATCTGCAATAATGTTAAATGGACCATTTCAGGAGCCAAACTGAAAATAGAATTACTGTATTTACTATTTTGTCCAAGGGAAAAAATCTTACTACTTTACTATTATTTTCTTTTTGTTTTTTTGTTTTTGTTGAGTCAGGGTCTCACTTTGTAGCCCTGGCTAGCCTCAAACTCAAGGTAATCCTCCTGTCTCAACCTCTGAAGTACTGGCATTACAGACATGTACCACCATGCCCAGCTCTTTCCTGTTCTTAAAAGTCATTATCATATACCATACCTTCTCCTCAAACCAATCATTCATGGGAATTTTATCAAAGGCTTTTGAAAAATCTAAATAATTTACATTCATCTTTCTATCACCATTTTAGTATTTACCACTTGGAAAGTTATGTTTGAATTAATTGTGATTTCCCCTTTAATGCTATTCCTCCAACTCAAAAAAAAAAAAAAAAACCAGTTGACTTTATTATCAAATTGATCTGGTCTACACATACACTACCCTACCAGAAAACTAGACACACTACACGGGAAAACTGCAAGGCTAGTATCAAAGCAGTAGTGTGATACAGAAGATAATCCACCCTAAATTCTAAAATTCAATTCCCATTTCAGTAGCAAAGACCAACCACAAAATCAGCAGTTGGAATAAACCACTACACCATACAAAAAACTTATACTTACAGTTCGATGAAACTGTGTAAAAGACTGAATCATGTAGAATCGATGCATATATACTATAGCAGTGTTGATAGTCAATTGTGAGCTAAAGTGTTCAAGTTAAGGCAATATAACTCCCAAATATAGTCTCCAGCTGCTCCCCAGAAGACCCAATGGCCAAACACGGTAGATGGCCCTAAGTGCCATTACCTCTGCAAGGCAAAGAGCAGTCTGTTTTCTTTCACTAAACTGCCAACCGGCAGCAAAATGCTTTCAACCAGCATCTCACATAAATTGAGTAAATAAACAAAAATTATTGGGATGTATGAATCAGGATGGAATATAAACTACATAAGATCTTAAATCTTTCAGTCACCTGCCTTCTACAAATCCTGCAACGAAGATTAGTCTAGACTCTCTTTAATGTGATTTAGAAAGCTGTCCCTAATCTGGCCTGTGGACACATATCTACTCTCTCTCTCACTTTCTAAATTCCAGCAATTAAATTTAGTTTCACTACAGTCTCAAGGTTGTAATCCCTGGGGCCAAAACAACTTTGAAATGATTTGATACTGGTTCACTAAAGAAAAACTGCCCCGCCCTAGCCCACGACTTTGTGCTTGCCTGTGCCTTTACCTCCAGCTCCTGGCGTTTCAAAGATAAGGTAACTCAGTGACTACACCCCACCCTTCAGCCCCCCAAAACCCTGTGAATGCCTTACTTCTAAGGAGCTCCTCAGGAGACAGTACCTAGTATAGAGATGTCACTGTCCCACGACGGCAACAACATTAGTAACACACTAACAAAAAGGCATATTAAGGATACACTGAAGCAGATTTTTAAAAAACGGCTGAATTCGCACGGACTGGATGCTTAGGAAACAAAGGTATAGCAACAGGAAACAAAATGGCAAGGGGACACCTATTTTGAAGCAAGCACACCCTTAACAAACATTGCCTGGCATGGTGACACACGCCTGTAATCCCAGCACTCGGGAGGCTGAGGCAGGAGGATCGTTGCAAGCTCGAGACCAGCCGGGGCTACAAAGTGAGCTCATAGCCGGCCTGAACTGCAGAGCAAGACCCTGTCTCAAAAAGACAAGACAAAACACAACAAAACAAACAAACATCACAGTCAGCAAGACACTTAAATGAAAGCTAAATAACCTCAAGCTGCATCTAAGGGAAAAAAAATTTTATACACATAGTTGAAAGACCACCACCATAGAATGAAAGTATTTTCGGACAAAAGCATTTTAGGGAAGAAAAGTCGCTAAACATCTTTGAACTGTAACACACACACACACACACAACCAGGGTAACTTAGGACCCACTATTCCGTAAACTATCTAAAAATTAGATCCATGGGTTTACAGTACTACAAAGCTAACCGTTCCTCTGCAATTGCGCAGAACTCGAACAAGGGCTATTACTTGAGGTCTGACGCCCAGCAGTGCGGTGGGCAGAGTGGAACGCGAGCAGTATCCACTTCACAGACAAGACGGCCAAGAAGGCGCGTGCCTTCCACAGCTAAGGGGGCGAACGTGTTCCGCACCGAGGCTGGGACACCAGCTCGTGGCCACCGTTAGAAGGCCTTCCAGCACGGAGTTTCCGGGAACCGTGCACGCATTACGGCGGGGAGGCGGCCGCCACCGACCGGATCTCCGCGAGACGCGGGTCAGGGCAGGGACGAGCCCCACGTCACTGCGCAGGAGGGACGAGGACGCTCCGCGACGACGAGGCCGGAAGCAGGTCCAGCGCCCAGCGCGGCTCGCACGGGCGGGCGGGAAGCCGGCGCCTCCCGCCC